TGGAGCCAAAAATCTCTTTCAATCATTGCCTATTTTATTCCGTTCTTCTTCCTTATCCACAAATGCAAGCACCCACCCTGAATTTGTCAAATTTTTGTATTTTTTATACATATACATGTACTTCTAACCTAGTATACAATATTAATGTTGTTTTTATTCAAATTAAATACATCATTATATTATGTGCATCATCTGCCCCTTTATTTATTTTCATTCAACATCATGGTTTTGAGATCTTCCTCTATTAATATAGATATAATTTGTTGTAGCAAATTGTTCTAGCGTGTAAGAAGTTTCATTTAGCATTTCCTTAACGATAGGCATTTCTGGCTTCAAGAAATCATACTGCAAAGAACATCTTGTTATATTTCTAGCTGTATATCAGAATTTTTCTAAGGCATGATAATAAAAAAGGAAACTGAAAAAAAAAATAAAAAAATAAAAAAAAAAGGAAACTGTATGTTGGGTTTATTTTAAGGTAAACTTCTTTATCTAAGACTTTTAAGTCATTTTCCTGAGGTTTTAGATTTTGCTTTCCAAATCAAAATGTTTAATGTTTTGTTTGATATTCTTTTTTCCTTTTTTTGGTGATATGGGGATTGAACCCAAGGCCTTGCACATGCTAGGACAGCACTTTACCACTGAAGTACATCCCTGGCCCTCCCTTTTTAAAAAAAATCTATTTTTGAGACAGAGTTTCACTTGATCCTCTTGCCTCAGCTTCTTGAGTAGATGAGATTATAGGTATGCACCACTGTGCTCAGTCTATCTTTGATTTTTTTCAAATGTAGGTTATAATGCAAGAACTTCTATTTCTCTGTAGGGAGCATCAATTACTGTATAAAACACTTGTTTAGTTTGGTCATAATTCTTCATGATTAGATATCTAGTTTTTATATTCCATTCCACTAATCTAATGCCAATTAATGCATAATAGAGGTATTTTTTTAGTTGTCAGTGGACTTTATTTATTTATATGTGGTTATGAGAATTGAACCCAGTGCCTCACACATGCTAGGCAAGCGATCTACCACTGTGCCACAACCCCAGCCCACATAATAGAAGTTTAATAATCCTAGTTGTATATTCAGATATTTTTGAGACAGGAGTCTATATTGCCTAGTCTAGCATTAAAAAAATCTTACATTTGTAGGATTTCTGTCCAGAATGAGCAATATGATGTACTGCTTCTGGCTGAAGCAGTACATATTAAATTTCTCCTGCCTTAACCTCCTGAGCTGCTGAGATTACAGATATGTATGACTGCACTCAGACAGCTCTATACCCAATAATAGTATTATCTGCTCAGCAATAAAAGAGAATAAAATCATGGCATTTGCAGGTAAATGGATGGTGTTGGAGAAGATAATGCTAAGTGAAGTTAGCCAATCCTCAAAAAACAAATGCCGAATGTTTTTTCTAAGGAGGCTGACTCATAGTGGGGCAGGGAGGGGGAGCATGGGAGGAATAGATGAATTCTAGGTAGGGAAGAGGGGTGGGAGGGAAAGGGAGAAGGCAGGAGATTAGCAAGGATGTAATGTAATGGACATCATTATCCAAAGTACCTGTATGAAGACACGAATTGGGTGTCAATCTACTTTATATACAAACAAAGATATGAAAAATTGTGGTATATGTGTGTAATAAGAATTTTAATGCAAAAAACACCCAAAGTACATGTATGAAGACATGAATTGGTGTGAACATACTTTATATACAAAGATATGAAAAATTGTGCTCTATATGTGTAATAAGAATTGTAATGCATTCTGCTGTGGTGTAGTTAAAAAATCAATAAAAAAATAATAATGTTATCTGAAAATATTTATTGTTTTCCAAGCCATTTATGTCTTCATTTATGGCATTGGCTTTTCTTTTCATCTATGGCATCATCCTAATTCTCTAGGATTATGCTAATGTGTAATGGTGCATTTCTGACTTTAAGATTCTACAACATGATGTTTACTGAAAAATCCTGCTGAACACAGGTTTTTCATTATATTAATATTTCTCATAAGAATGTTCTGTTGTCTTAAGACTTCTGCTTAAAGGCTTTTGTACCTTCCTAATGTTTTGCCCAAGAATGAACTATCTAATGTTCAGGAGTTCTAAATTCCTACTAAAGCCTTTGCTGTATTCCCTTGAATATAATATAATTTATAATGTAATATAAATTCCCTTGAATAAATATGAGCTTTCTGATAACTAATATGGTATGACTCTTGGCTGAATGCTTTCCCACATTCTCTACACTGATAAGGCTTCTCACCTTTATGTGTTCTGTCACGTGAAGCGAGAGTTCAGAACTGAGAGAAAGCTTTCCCACACTGATTACATCCATAGGGTTTCTTACCTGTATGGCTTCTCATATGCACAATAAGAGATGAACTTTGAGAGAAGGCTTTTCTACATTCCTTATATTCATAAGGCTTATCACCTGTATGGATTCTCACATGTACAGTAAGTGAGGTGATTTGAGATAAGAATTTTCCATATTTATTACATTTAAAGGGCTTCTCTCTAGTATGAAGGGTGTGATGTTCTATGAGGTACTGCTTCTGGGTAAAGGCTGTTCTATATTCATTACATTTAAAGGGCTTCTCTTCAATGTGAATTTTCTCATGTTTTGTGAGATTTGATTTGTTGATGAAGGTTTTCCCACATCATTTACATTTATGGCATTTCTCTCCCATATGTGTTTTCTGGTGTTTAATGAAGCTTGACTTCTGAATAAATGTTTTCTCACAGTCTTTACATTCAAATAGTTTCTTTCTAGTATGAATTTCATGATGGGTAAGAAGGTTTTCCTTTTGGCTGACTTATTTTCCACATTCCTTACATCTGTAGGATCTCTGTCCAGAATGAGTAATAATGATGTACTGCTGCTGGCTGAAACAGAGCATATTTCAGCTTCTGGTTGAACGCTTTTCCACATTTATTACACTCAAAGGGTTTTTGCCCTACATGGATTTTTTTCATGGTTAATGCTATTTGATTTGTGACTAAAGGCTTTCCCACATTTCTTACATGCACAATATGTCTTTCCAATATGAATTTTCTGGTGTCTTGGGAAGTTTGACACCTGAATGAAAGCTTTTTCACAATCATAAGGTTTAAATTTACTTAAGTTCCATGAAGTTTTGCTTTTGGTAAAAGAATTTTCCAAATCTGTTACATTCATTGGATTTCTCCACAGCTAGAATTTTCTTATGCTCAATTAGTTTGAATAACTGGATGAAGGTTTTTTCAATATTCTTTAGATGTACAGGGTTCCTCTGCTGTAAAACAGGTATGCGACAACTGACAAAGTTCATAGGTTTTCTCTCCACTGTGCATTCTCAGGTATTTGATGAGATTTAATTCTGAATTCCTTTTTATATGAATTTCATTTAATAGGGCTATTATAAATAGGATGAGCTATAAATCTACTTATATTCATAGCTCAGATTCCTTCATAATACATTAATTCTGTAATATTTCTCTTTCCAAGTAAGTCACATTGATACAAGATTTGTCTTGTAGAAACAGTATGTGAATTTTAGAGTACATCTTTCCAATTTACTCATATTCACTACCTTTTTCTTTGGTCAGTATTTTCTTGGAGATAGATCCATCTTGACCTATAAGTCTTTCAGTTGCCTCTCTTTCTGCTTTTTAACTTCCAAAATTTCTTCTAAAACAGGGTACAAAGAATAATCATTCAAAAGCTAATATGTGAAATTTGTTTAATCAGTTTAGCTTATAGTAAATATGTGAAAAATTATTACTATAATCATCATCTATTAAATTTTTCCATTATTATATTATTAATAAAGTTTCATTGGCAGGGTAGAATCTTTAGCTTCAGTTCAAACAAATCTACCAAAATGAAAGAAGTCCCAAGTGCTAACACCACTTTCCCCTAATTTTGAGAAGGAAATTTATAGAGGAACTTTGCATAGAATAATAACATTTGACTAGTATACCTTTGAGTGCTGTAAAAAAAAAGATTTACTTTATTCTAATTACTTCATTCTTTTATGGTATTGGGGATTAAATCAAGGGCCTCACACATGGTAGGTAGCAGTCTACCACTGAGCTACATTCCCTTTTTTTTTTTCATTTTAATTTTTTGATACTGAGGACTGAACCCAGATGTGCTTTATGATTGAACTACATCCCCAGGTCTTTTAATTTTTTATTTTGACAGAGTCTTGCTAAATTGCCCAGGTTGTTCCAACTTGCCATCCTCCTGGGTTGTTGGGATTATAGGAATGCCTAACTACATTCAGCCCTATCCCATTTTTAAAAAAATTTATTTTGAGTCTGGCTGATAAGCTGGCTCACAAGGTTCACTACAAAAGCCCTAACTATATGTATATCTCAACATAATATCTACATATCATATGTTTTTATATATATATAGATAGATTATAATCACCTTTTTAGTACATAATTAATAAACATAATAAACATACTGCTACTAATCCATAATAAATATGCCTGTTTTAACATCAAAGTCAGTTTACGTAGTTTATCAGATAACAGTTATTTTTTTTCCTTTTTATTATCAATGTACAAATGCCTAACTTGAGGTAGATTTTTATATGATGTAAAGATACAATCCCGGTGTCAGAAATAGACGACCCACATTCACACCCAGTCACACACAATCACCGTCTTCGGACTCTCCTCAACCCTGCCCTGCTTCTCACCTGAGCGCGTGCGCTTGTACGTACGTATGTGTACAAACACACACCACACACACACATACACCACACACCACACACACACACCACACACACACACACACACACCACACAACCTTGAATCCTGCCCAGTCGCTTCCTCAACCCTATCAGGACGGGACTGTCAGGTCTCAGTTCACCCTGACCTTCGGCGCTGGGCAAAACGAGGCCTAGACTCACGGACGGACGAAGAGAAACCCGTCAGGCAGGCTTTCGACCCCTTCTGCATTCTGCGGCAGAGCCAGCACCTCCGGACATCTCTTCCTGCGCTGCCAGTGAGGTTACCTAGCCCAAGACTAGGCTCCGGCGCAGAGAGATCACGTGACTCTCCTTCCCGCGGCGCTGGCTGTGTCTGCGGCCGGGGACTACAAGTCCCAGAGGCCCTGAGGCTCGGAGCTGCTTCCGCCGCGAGCCGGTGTTGGTCGTCCTGCGGTCGTTGGACGGTCACTGCGCTGCGGGACGAGGCGCTCCCGTGCGCGCGGGTGGGCGGGCGCGCGCGCTCCGGCTCTGATTCGCTTGGCGCCGGGGCCCCGCGGTTTTGTTTGGTGCGGAGACTCGGTAAATGAGAGCAAGCTCAGCTTCCGTCCTGAGAGGACTAGGGAGGCCTGCGCTCTGGACTACATTTCCCAGAGGCCCCCAGGTCGACAACAGGTACTGCAGGCTTCAGGCTCCTCTTCGAGGCTTGGCGGAAGCGTTGTCTCTGCTGTCAGCTGTTGAACGGCATTTGGAATCCAGTGAACTTGGCTAGTTTGTACGCGACCGGAACTAGGGAAAGCCTAGGGTGAGGAGCCTGGCTCGGGTCCAGCGAGCTGAAGAGAGGAGAAAGAGGAGAGATTATGATTGTTACTGTGTCTTTGTGGTGTGTGATTGGGACTTGTGTGGTGAAGATTCTGTGTTCCCAGAATGGGTATGTGATTGTGACTGCCTGAGTTGCATTGTGCATGGGAATGTGCTGAGCTGGTGACTCTGTGGTTGGAACTGTGTAATTTTATGTCGGTTTCCAACACCATGTTGGAAGGTCTGAGACTTTGGTGGGGTCCAAGTGGATGGGGTCAGTAGGTGGAGTCAAGATGCTATCCTTTAACAAGTTGGTTACCAGAAGGTGATTGTATAAAGCTTATAATCTGGATCTCTAATATTCACGAATTGGAAGGAAGTGGAGAACTAGTCAAGGTGACTTAGCCCTTCTTTTGGGTAAGAGAAAGTTACATCTATGTTTAAAATGAATGGTGAGGGAACAAAAAAGGATAATAATTCACTACAACAAACTTAAAAAGTATTGTCTATCATGGATTAAAAATATAGAGAATGCAAGATTGGAACTTCATCCAAAGAAGGAGCCAGAAACAAATATCTAGCAATGTGAATGTTCAAAGTACTTTTAAAAATAGGAGTGTTTTATTTTCATGTTAAATTGCAGAGATGTGGTATTAGACTCTCGATTACTCTCCTAGACCTTGAGAGGAATTATACTAATAAAAAATCGTAGGAAATAGTCTTCAGTAAATACAGGAAAAATGTAAAATAAAATTAAAACCCTATGGTAACCTGGGGTTACTTCCTTTCCAGACTCTTCCTATCTGTATTTTTTTCACAGACATCATATATTACTGCATCTAATTAATTGTCATTTGAAGTTTAGTATGTTGAATCCTGCCTAACAATTCTGGTATTTGCTGTCAACCTGCTCTATTTGATCACCTTATCTTTCCTCTCTGTAACTACCTATGGTTTATTTTCTTGTTTGCAGGATTTTGATGAACTATTCTAAAATTTCTTACTAAGAGCAAGGCGGGGGGGAAGCTCCAGAGAGTGAGGAGAAAAGTGATGTGCCTGTGCATAAGTGAATAAGGGAAAGTTGGAAAGGGGAACTTGGAGGTGGGAAGTCTTGTGTGTAAGAGCTCAGTTACTCCATGTCCAGGCCACGGTCATCTCTCACATGTTGTTCCAATAGCCCCCTTACTCATCCCCCTTGTTCCTTCATTGCACCACTAAAGTTTCTTCTTAGGGGTTGGGAGTGTGACTCAGTGGTAGAACACTTACCTGGCATGTGTGATGTTCTGGGTTCTGTCCCCAGCACTGCAGGGGCTGGGTGGGGGAGTTTCTTAATACAGCAGCCAGCCTAATCCTTCCAAAATAAGTTAGTTTATGTCACTCCTTAAAACTTTCCATGGCTTCCCGTCACAATCAGAATGAAAACCAATCTCCACAGTGGTCTGTCTCTGTTACTGCTCTGATCTCATTTAGCATTTTTTCTTAATTCTGCCTCTCTGCATTTGAGATAGCTGGTTCCCTTGCATGGAATTTTCTCACTCCTGATATCTACATGACTTAATCTTTTGTTTCCTTCAAGGCTTTCCTCACATGTTACTAAACTGGAAAATCCTTCCCTGTGAACATCTCAACAAGTGCACAGTTCCTATCCCCCTTGCCCTATTTTATTTTTCTTAAAAGTTCTTATCCTCAATTTACCTATTTATATCTGTTTCCTCCAATCTACACCAAAATTGAAATTTTATTTCAATGGTAATCCACTATGGTCCTTGATGGATAGGAAATTTGGCTATGTTCATTTTATCAGTGGTGTGACAGGCTAGGCCTTGCTATGTTAACAATGAGCAAATATCAATATTTTAAGACAGAAAGTTTTTCATTCACATTACATATCTGTCACAGAGCTTTGTATTTGTCTTCCTCTCTAGTTGTGTAGCTAGATATTCAAAGCCTTGGAGTCTTTGGTATGGATTAGGTGATCCATTCTTAATTTAATTGTTTGAAATAAGAAACTGGAGAAGTCAAAGAGATTTCATGTCTTGAACTTGGTGCATGCATCTGGATGCCTGTGTATAGATTCTGGATGTGTACAGGCATTCTAGCTTGAGGTCTTTGTTTTAAATTTAGGTCATAGCTGGAGAAATGCTGTTTTAGGAAACTCTTGGCATACTTGCAAAGGGAGAACTATATGGGGTCATGTTATTGTACCCACCTGCAGTTCTGATTAACATTTTGAGATTAGGGTAACAATCTGCCTGAATTCCTCCTGCAAAGGTTTCTGGGCCCCTCTCAGCATTGGAGCTAATCTACTCAGATTCCATTCCATCTTGCTCTTCTTAAGTTCACACATACTTAGGGAAGCCTGGGATTTTTTCCCGTGTGTGAGTGTGTGTGTGTGTGTGTGTGTGTGTGTGTTGGAGGAAGGAGAAGTAGGGGTAGACAGCATAGTAAGGATATTGGAAGGAGAGTGTAGAATTATTTGGGTATTTCTGGGAGCTTTTAAAATTTTCCTCTTTCCCCCACAGTTGCTTTTTGAGGATGCTGTACTTTTCCAGGAGCGGAATATATATTTCAAGGATGATATATCAGTTCACCTGGAGTATAGCTTTTAACACATACCTCAGAACCTGAATTATGTTTCCCTAGATTCCGCTCCTGGGGGCCCCTTATTTGCATGAACATTTGTTTTCTTTATCTAGAAACTTCCTTGCTCAACTTGCCTATGAAACCATCCCAGATCTTCTCATTCTGTCAGGGAATGAATGATTGTGCCCAGCAGCACGGTCTTGCCCCTTATTTTCCCACTCTTTGACAGTGTTTCAGTGTGTGCAGTGCTTCATGATAGAGCCTAAATGCATTCCCTTCAGGAAAACAGTTGAGCCTCCCAGTTTAGCCTTGGGGTTTAATTAATTAGTAATGATTTAATGATTGCTGATTGGGGTAAGTACTCTCCACAAACATGTTTATTTTTCTTAATTTTTGACTTCCCTTTTTAAGAAAACATATGGAGGGTTTTTTTTTTTTTTGTTGTTGTTGTTATTATTGTTTTGTTTTGTTGTACCAGGGATTGAACTCAGGGTTACTCAACCACTAAGCCAGCCCTATTTATTTTTTATTTAGAGACAGGGTTTCACTGAGTTGCTTAGTGCCTAACTTACTGAGGCTGGTTTTGAACTTGAGATTCTCCTGTCTCAGCTTCCCAAGCATCTGGGATTACAGGCATGCTTGTACTTGGCATGAAGTGTTTGATACTATAAAAGAATAATGGAATGTTTATGTATGTAGCACTGAAATAATAAGCATTGGAAAAGTTCCTTTAGTGCCCTGCCATCCCCCCTAAAAGAATATCCTCTACTCAGTGACTCAGGAGGCTGAACCAGGATTGAGAGTTTAAAGCCAGCCTTAGCAATTTAGCAAGGCACTAAGCAACTCAGTGAGACCCTGTGTCTAAATAAAATACAAAAAAAGGGCTGGGGATGTGGCTCAGTGGTTGAGTGCCCCGAGTTCAATCCCTGGTACCAAAAATAAATAAATAAATAACCTCTAAAGACAGTTTTATACTCATCATTTTATTGCTTTTGTCTTTATATCTTTAAGAGGATATTATTAGGTTTTTATATTTTGACCTTTCAAGAAGATTATCCAGATACATAAGTTTTTGAGCACTGTAGACTCTTAAAGTTGTAAAGGAACTCAGAGCTCTTGTTCAATCTAAGTATCCAAAATAATGGAATAGTTATATTTTGCATTCCTAAGATGAAATACAGTTTTCAAGAACTTGCTTTGTAAAGAAAACTGCCTATGATTTTGTCTAATAATGAAGATCCTTAGTATTTAGTATATATTTTAATTATGCCAACCTCCTCTTATGTGCAATAGAAGTGTTGTTTTTATTTTTGTAGATTTTTTTGAAAGATTATGTCTTCCTTTAATGGAAAAAAAGGGAAGAAAAGAACACATAAATATTAAATGTTTGATAAGTAATGGTTTGTATATTGGATATATCCACTGTAAAATTCTTTCAGCTTTGCTGTATGTTTGAAATTTTTATAATAAAAGTGGAAAGTGGGATGGGGATGTGGCTCAAGCGGTTGCGTGCCTGCCTGGCATGCACAGGGCGCTAGGTTCGATCCTCAGCACCATATAAAAATAAAAAAATAAAAAAGATGTTGTGTCCACCGAAAACTAAAAAAATAAATAAAAAATTCTCTCTCTAAAAAAAAAAAAAAGTGGAAAGTCATGGATGATTGTTAAAAGAAAAAAAAAAGTAATTTGCTGTGGGAAGCCATTCTCACATGTGATTGGGCACCTCCCGGATTGGGTGTGAGGCGCTCTGGCTAAACTGTGTCGGAGCTTTCCCCACCCTCTCCTGGTGTGAGAGCCTGTCCGTGTGGGAGTGTGACTGACCACTGACCCTGAGGCCAATCACTGACCCTGACCTTGGAATGCTGCCCCCCTCGACCTTCAATGGTTGGAATTTTCCCCTGAATTTCTTGTTCCCCAATAAAAGGCCACTCCCTGGCGTTCTCTCTCTCTCTCTCTCTCTCTCTCTCTCTCTCTCTCTCTCTCTCTCTCCTGCTAGCCCTGAGTAAGCCTTCCTGCCCTACCAGGTGGTTCGAGGTGTGAGCCAGAGTGGTGAGAGCCGTCTTGGACCTGGTCACAGAAAAAGGTAATTGAGTCTGTGTGTTTATTTTGATCTCACTAGTTAACTTTTATGCCATGAACCTCTTTAATGAAACCAGTGCGCTGATCACATGGTGGAATTTGGTGCCTAACGAGGGGGCATTCTAGATTAGTTAGATTGAGTGGGAGCGCGCTATAAAGATAAAGGAATAGGTGACAATTTTGAGTCACAAAAGTACCTGGAGATATTGAAGGAACGAGATGTTAAATTAATTAAAATGGGAAATTCAACTTCTACGGATAAGGAGATGTATCTGACTATTTTAGACACCATAATTAATCAGAAAGGAAAACAGATAAAGAAAACTCAGTTATTACAATTCTTTTTTTTTTTTTTTTTTTTAGTTATTACAATTCTTAAAGATTGTAGGCGAGTTTTGCCCTTGGTTTTGTGAACAAGAATCCCCAAATTTACTTACTTGGGAGAAACTAGGGAGGAAATTACAAAAAGTTTGTTTTCTAATGAATTACCTGGAGGCATAGAAAATATTCAGAAAACTTGGACAGCTCTGGAAATTTGTCTTTTTGAATATATGGGACTGAGTTCATGGCCCCCTGAAGATCTATTGAAAGGCATTCAGAGAGCTATTAGGTCTATTCAAATGGAAAATCCGCCTGAGGCTGTTAATTTCCTTTCCCTTTAAAAACAAAGGCTCTAGGGGCTAAACCGAAAGTTAGGAATGTGACTTTAAACTTGCATGATCAGGCTAGCCCGCAGGGAGATTATAGAGAAGAAAGTCATAGAGGAGAAACCTCCACAGTCCTAGAAAGTCCTCCGGAAGAGATAGAGGATCCTCCCGGGGAGGAAAATCCGGAAGAGATTCTTAGAGAGGCACAGAGTCCTTCTCTACCACGTGGCTTAGAAGCCCAATTTCAAAATGGCGACAGCGGAGATTCTACCCACGAGTCGCAGTCTGAGGGAGAAGAATCAGACACTGAAATTCAGGACTTACAGAGAAATTTTAACAGGCTGCATTTAACACCACCTGCCCAGGCTATTAGAATTCGGCCATTACCTGCTAAAAGGACAAAATTTAACAGGTACTCTAAATTAACAATGACTCTTCTTACCCCGTTCCAGCGAGGTATTAAGAAGGCACAAGAAGCGGGGGAAGATATTAGCGGTTTTCAACTTTTCCCAGTTTTTGAACAGATTAATGAGCAAGATCAGAGAGTTAGAGTTCATGCTGTAATTCCATTTAAAACCATTAAGGAATTGAAAAGTGCATGCGAGATGTATGGTCCGAGTACGCCTTTTGTACAGAACCTAATCGATAATATCTCCCCGCAGCCTCTCCCACCTAGTGATTGGATTTCATTAGCCAGATCTTGTTTGAGTGGAGGGGATTTCTTACTTTGGCATTCTTATTGGACTGATTTTTGTACTGAACAGGCAGAAAAAAATAGAAAACAGAATTTACAGACCCCAGTAGAAATGTTTTTAGGAATGGGTGAATTTGCTGATTTGGAAAGACAGTTAAATTATTAATTTGTAATATATGATCAAATAACTAATTGTGCTAAACGTGCCTGGAAGCAAATAGTCTCCAAAGACCAGTCCAATTTAGTTCTTACCAGAGTCAGGCAGGGTGCGAGTGAGCTGTACTCAGATTTCGTAGCCCGATTGTATCAGACAGCAAATAGGTCTATCTGGGACCCTGGGGCGTGCGAGTTTATTGTTAAGCAGTTGGCATTTGAAAATGCAAATAAATATTGTCAGGACATTCTTAGTCCGCACCGTAAAAAAGGAACAGTTTCTGAGTTTATCCACTTGTGTTCTGAGATAGACTCTACCCATTTGCAGACAGTAACTCTAGCCACGGCACTAAAAGAAACTCTAAAGCCGCAGGAATTAGTACGGGAGATGCTATCTTTGCAGGAGAAATAACCATTATGTGCGCGAATGTCGCATGCGTAATTTTAAGTTCAGGGCTCCATCTACTGGTGATAATAGATATTGCAGGACTCAACCCCACGTGGCGGATCAAGATGGTGGGGAATTCCAGGAGAGGTCGCACAGTGTGACATCACTGGCGCCCACCAGGACGGCCCACAATTTTTAACGGTACGTAGATCACAGACAGTTTCCTTAGGACCCTCAACGACAATTGAATTGAATCCTGAATCAGGGCCAAAACAAATCCCTACTGGGATTTTCGGGCTGCTTCCTGATAATACTATAGGTTTAATTTTGGGACATTATAATTTAAAAGGAGCCATTGAGGTAATACCTGGTGTGATAGATTCAAATTTTAAAGGACAATTAAATGTTACTGTAAGGTCCAATTATGCCCTAAGGCTCACTCCAAAGGATACATTTGCCCAATTGATTTTATTGCCCTGTGATTCGGATAGACACCCGCGAGTAAATTCAGTTTCTAAACCGCCGGACAGAGTGTACTGGTTGCAATTGGTGCGACAAGAATGCCCTTTATTAGAACTTAAAATTAATCATAAAAGGTTCCAGGGCATTCTCGACACAGGGGCTGACATTTTGGTCTTTTCTAGTAAATTCTGGCCTAGGAATTGGCCCTTACTTGTAGCACCAGCTAACCTAGAGGGAATTGGACAAATTTCACAGCCTGCTCAAAGTGCAAATTATCTCCATTGGGAAGATTCTGATGGGAACAGTGGAGTTTTTAAACCTTATATGTTAGAGTCTTTACCAGCAAACCTATGGGGAAGGGATATTTTAGCCAAAATGGGATTGTTATTAGTTACTCCAAATTCTATAAGGTCAGTTGAGGAAGTTAATCAGAGATATTTTCCTGGAGATGATAAGGAGACCCTTCAGGGAGAGTATCTGTTTACAAACCAGTCTCCACGACAAAGATTAGTAAATGCTCCAAGCCAAAATTTTTACTAGGGGCCCTGAGTATTTCCCTGATCCCTAAGACAGCTGAAAAAATCACCTGGCTCACAGAGGAGCCTCTATGGATTTCTCAGTGGCCCATCTCAGGGGAAAAACTTAAAATAATTCATAGGTTAGTTGAGGAACAACTTCAGGCTGGTCATATAGAACCAACACTCAGTCCTTGGAACACACCTATTTTTGTTATTAAGAAAAAGTCCGGAAATTGGAGATTGCTACAGGAATTAAGGGCGATAAATCATGCAATTCAGCCTATGGGATCATTTCAGCCAGGACTTCCTTCCCCCACAGCCATCCCTTTAAACTATAGCTTGATGGTAATAGATTTAAAAGATTGTTTTTTCTCTATAAGGTTACATCCTGGAGATTGTGAGAGATTTGCCTTCACTGTCCCAGCAATTAATTTTAAGGAACCTGTTAAAAGATATTGCTGGAAAGTACTCCCCCAGGGAATGCATAATATTCCTACCTTATGCCAAAAATATGTTGATCAGGTGATAGATCCCATAAGAAATAGCTTTCCGGATGTGCATATTATTCATTTTATGGATGATATATTATTGGCTCATGCTAATCCAGAGGTACTTTCAGAAATTTTTACTCAGAGGCTTCACTTACAGCAATGGGTTTATGCATTACTCCTCAAAAAATTCAAAAGATGCCTCCTTTTCAATATCTAGGTCAGATAATTCAAGGACATAAATCCGTCCTCAAAATCTTCAGATAAGAGTTAAGGAGTTACATACCCTTAATGATTTTCAAAAGCTATTAGGAGCTATTAATTGGCTGAGACCATCCTTAAAACTAACTACTTCTGAGTTAAGTCCTTTATTTCAGATTTTACAAGGAAATCCTTCTCTAACCTCTCCACGTCAGCTAACCTTAGAGGCTAGAACAGCTTTAAAAAAGGTTGAAAATGCAATTAAAAATTCACAGCTTACTAGAGTTGATCCTAAAGAAATAGTGTATTTATTAATATTTCCAACTGAGCATACCCCAACAGGAGCCATATGGCAAAGATTAGGAGTTATTGAGTGGATTTATTTATCCCACTCCCCTCAAAAAACATTAATTCCTTTCCATGACTCTATAGCTCAATTAGTAATTAAAGGCAGAACTAGGATTTTACAATTAATTGGATCTGAGCCTGATATCATAATTATTCCATTTTCTGTTCAACAGACTAATTGGCTTTTTCAAACTTCTAGCTTATGGCAGATAGCTTTTGCTGATTTTCCTGGCTAGATAGATAGCCATTACCCTCGTGATAAGATTATCCAATTTGCATCATTAATGTCACTTATTTTTCCAAAGATTGTGCGTGCACATCCTATGGATGAAGCTTTATCGGTGTTCACTGATGGTTCAAGCTCAGGTAAAGCAGGTTTTTATAGTCGTGTTCACACAGAGGTAATGCAAACTTCATATACTTCTGCCCAAAGAGCAGAGCTTCAAGCTCTGATTTGTGCCTTAAATTGTTTTTCAAATGAGCCTATTAATATTTATTCCAACAGCTTATATGCAGTCGGAGTTACCAAAAATATTGAAACTTCAGTTATTGGGTATACTTCATCACAAGAGTTATTTGAATTATTTCATAATTTACAGAAGGCAGTGCTAATGCGAAAATACCCATGTTTCATAGGACACATACGAGCTCATACTAATCTTCCTGGACCTTTAGTTTCAGGTAATGACAAAATTGATAAATTAGTAGCTTTTTGTCAACAGATGTCTTCATATGACTGTGTACAAGCTTCCCATTCCTTGCATCATCAAAATGCTTCTAGCTTACATAAAAAATTTAATATTACCAGAGAACAAGCTCATCAAATTGTAAGCCAATGCCCTAAGTGTGTTATTCACACTCCATCTCCACCATCAGGGGTAAATCCCCGTGGATTAAAACCAAATCAAATATGGCAAATGGATGTAACTCATATTCCTCAATTTGGTAAGCAATGTTATGTACATGTCATAGTGGACACATATTCCAGATTTATTTTTGCCACAGCACGTACTAAGGAAAATACTCAACATGTAATTTCTCATTGCCTAGCAGCTTTTTCTGTGTTAGGGTGCCCTATGCAGATTAAAACAGATAATGCTCCAGTTTATGTAAGCTCTTCTTTTCAACAATTTTGCCAAGAGTTTCAAATTAATCATAAAACAGGAATTCCTTATAACCCCTAAGGTCAAGCCATTGTGGAACAAGCTCATTTATCTATTAAGCTTCAATTACAAAAATTAAAAGGGGGGGGAATAGGGTTATGACTCCCCAAAATAGCCTCAATCATGGTTTGTTCATTTTAAATTTTTTAAACTGACGCAGAAGGTCACACTGCAGCTGAGAGGCAAATGTCTCCCTCAGTAACAGGCCCTTTAGGCAGAGTTTTGTGGAAAGATTTACAGACTGGTCAATGGAAAGGCCCAGACCCAGTGATTATGTGGGGCAGAGGTCATGCTTGTATTTTTCCAGAAGGTGCTTTTCATCCTATCTGGGTGCCTGAACGTGCAATTAGACATGGAAGAGATAGAACCGAGATTCAAGCGACTGAAGATCGACCCAGAGGAGCCCCCATCCAAAAGGAAGAGATATCGGAAAAAGGTGAAGAAAAACCAAATTGACCCAGCTGAAAAGCTGATTTCATGGGGAGAGGTGAAGAAGCTAACAACACAGGCTTCCCGAATACTTCGACTCCTAGGAAAGAACAGGACTCCAGTCTTGATGGTAGCGACAGTAATTGCCCTGCTGGGCTGTCAGGATGGCGAGTCTTCAGAACAAGAATGCAGAAACTCAAAAGAGTGAACCACCGCCTCATTTTTAAGAGAAAAAAGGGGGAATATGTGGGAAGCCATTCTCGCACGTGATTGGGCACCTCCCGGATTGGGTGTGAGGCGCTCTGGCTAAACTGTGTTGGAGCTTTCCCCACCCTCTCCTGGTGCGGGAGCCTGTCCGTGTGGGAGTGTGACTGACCACTGACCCTGAGGCCAATCACTGACCTTGACCTTGGAATGCTGCCCCCCTCGACCTTCATTGGATGGAATTTTCCCCTGAATTTCTTGTTCCCCAATAAAAGGCCACTCCCTGGCGTGCTCTCTCTCTCTCTCCTGCTAGCCCTGAGTAAGCCTTGCTGCCCTACCGGGTGGTTCGAGGTGTGAGCCAGAGAGGTGAGAGCCGTCTTGGACCTGGTCATAGAAAAAGGTAATTGAGTCTTTGCGTTTATTTTGATCTCGCTAGTTAACTTTTTTTTTTTTTTTTTTTTTTTTTTTTTTTAAAGAGAGAGAGAGAGAGAGAGAGAGAGAGAGAGAGAGAGAGAGAGAATTTTTTAATATTTATTGTTTAGTTTTCGGCAGACACAACATCTTTATTTGTATGTGGTGCTGAGGTTCGAACCCAGCGCTGCACGCATGCCAGGCAAGCACGCTACCGCTTGAGCCACATCCCCAGCCCTCGCTAGTTAACTTTTATGCCATGAACCTCTTTAATGAAACTAGTGCGCTGGTCGCATGGTGGAAATTTGCCATACTAGAACTTGCTGTGTATCTTTCTACCCTTTTAATTTATTGGGTAAATAACAAATAAATATGTTTTATTCATGCCTAGCCCTAGCCATGGGATAGGAGAATGTCCCATTGTGTGAAGGAGAATTGTCTTTAGCTACAAGATAATCATGAGCATGGAGGTACTTTGTTCTAGTCATGTTCATTTTACTTTCTCTACTTCTGCCATCTACTCTGTTCTATCCCATTTTTTCAATATATCTTCTCCATCCCTCAGTGTCCTTCTCCATCTTTTTCATATTAAAAACATTTGTTTGAATCTCACCAGTACTATATGGGTTTGTCAATTCAGGAATTGGTAATGTTCAGGGACCTGAGACTGTAGACTTCTCTCAGGAAAAGTACAAATGCCTTGCCCCTGGTTAGAGGGATTTATGTAGATATGCAGTGATAGATAACTCCACCAACCTAGTCTTACTTGATAAGGATATCAATTTCCAAATAACTTATGGATTTTGGGTGTGTCTTTCAATTGTCTGGGTGGGTGTATGCCTTCCTAGGGAATTGTTTTATGCTTTGGAGATAAGGAAACAGGCAGGCTGCTCATTGAGATCCCTTTATCGTCTCCATACTTCAGACCTTCATACTTTCTTCTTGTCTTTTCTGTAGTTGCTGTTTCCTTGAGCACTAAGGACTAGGTTTGAATTCAGAAACAAGCAGGAATATATCTTTTTTCTTGTAAACAGGACTCTGTACTCCTAAGCCTGATGTGATTTCCCTGTTGGAGCAAGGGAAAGAATCATGATGGTCTCAAGGGACATTATGGGAGGATGGTGCCCAGGTAAGTAAGGATTCTGAACAGGTAGGCAGGCAGTGCATTTAAGAATCAGCTAAAAAAAAAAAAAAAGAATCAGCTGGTCATGGAGGCAGAACCTCAATGGTGTTTACTGAGGCATCTTCCTCAGAGGCCCATTCAAGGGTGTGTGGAAGCATGCTGTTCATTTTGTTATTCTTCATATCTTTTATATATATATGTGTGTTTGTGTGTGTGTGTATGTGTGTATACATATATATGTGCACAAAAAACACTCTTGTTTGAAATATTTTGTAATAAGAAATACTTTCTTGCCCAGTTTATGTGAGGCAACCCCCAGCACCATAAAAACAAAACGAAACAACTTTCAGATCATTAGTGAAACTAATATAGAAATAGATTGGCCAGTTAGGATGCTGTGTTAATAATTTACACATAATGATAGTTTAGACCTGGGTCAGCAAACTATGTATGGCCTGTGGGCCATCATCTGTTTTTGTAAATGAAGTTTTTAGGAACATAGCTAAACTCTCGCTTAAATATTGCCTGTGGCATCAGAGACAAATCCTCTGAAAGAGAAACTAGGAAAACTACCCCATTTACAATAGCCTCAAAAATAATAAAACGCTTGGGAATCAACGAAAGAGGTTAAAAGAATTCTACAATGAAAACTACAGAATGCTAAAGAAAGAAATTAAACAAGATCTTAGATGATAGAAAGATCTCCCTTATTGTTGGAAAGGCAGAACTAGTATTGTCAAAATGACCATACTACCAAAAGCATTATACAGATTTAATGTGATTCCAATAATAATCCCAATGACATTCCTCATAGAAATCAAAAAGGAAATAATGAAATCATCTGGAAAAATAAGAGACCCAGAATAGCTAAAGTAATTCTTAGCAAGAAGAGTGAAGCAGGTGGCATCATGATATGTATGTGTGTGTATACATATATATGTGCACAAAAAACACTCTTGTTTGAAATATTTTGTAATAAAAATTACAGGAGTGTTTTTTTGTGCACATATATATGTATACACACACATATATATCTAGTATAGTTCCAGACCTTAAACTATACTGTAGAGCAATAGTAACAAACACGCATGGTATTGGCACCAAAACAGACTTGTAGACCAATGGTAAATAATAGAGGATACAGAGACAAACCCACATAAATACAGTTATCTCATTAGACAAAGGTGCCAAAAACATATATTGAAGAAAGGATAGCCTCTTCAACAAATGGTGCTGGGAAAATTGGAAATCCATATGCAACAAAATGAAATTAAGCCCGTATCTCTCATCATGCACAAAACTCAACTCAAACTGGAATAGGACCTAGGAATTAAACCAGAGACCCTGCACCTACTAGAAGAAAAAGTAGGCCCAAATCTTCATCATGTTGGATTAGGCCCCGACTTCCTTAATAAGACTCCTATAGTGCAAGAAATAAAATCAAGAATCAATAAATGGGATGGATTTAAACTAAAAAGCATCTTTTCAGCAAAAGAAACAATCAGTGAGGTGAATAGAGAGCCTACAGAATGGGAGCAAATTTTTCCATGTGCACATCAGATAGAGCACTAATTTCTAGGATATATAAAGAACTCAAAAAATCAACACCAAAAAAAAAAAAACCCATCAATAAATGGGCCAAGGAACTGAACAAACACTTCACAGAAGAGGATATACAATTAATCAACAAATATATGAAAAAAATGTTTAACATCTCTAGCAATTAGAGAAATGCAAATCAAAACTAAGAATTTATCTCACTCCAATCAGAATGGCAGTTATTAAGAATACAAACAATAAGTGTTGATGAGGATGTTGGGAGAAAGGCACACTCATACATTGCTGGGGGGACTGCAGATTGGTTCAGTCAATATGGAAAGCAGTATGAAGATTCCTTGGAAAACTTGAAATGGAACCACCATTTCTCCCAGCTATCCCACTCCTTGGTTTATATCCAAAGGAATTTTGCATACTATAGTAACACAGCCACATCAATGTTTATAGCAGCACATTTCACAATAACTATATTGTGGAACCAACCTAGATGCCCTTCAGTAGATGAATGGATAAAGAAACTGTGGAATATATATAAAGAAATATTACTCAGCAATAAAAGAGAATAAAATCATGGCATTTGCAGGTAAATGGATGGAGTTGGAGATTATTATGATAAGTGAAGTAAGGCAATCCCAATAAAACAAATGTCGAATGTTTTCTCTGATATGAGGATGTTGATCCTTAATGGGGATGGCAGGGGGAGCATGGGACTAATGGAGGAACTTTAGATAGGGCAGAGGGGAAAGAAGAGGCAAGGGGTGGAAAAGACAGTGGAACAATACGGACATCATTACTTCAAGTACCCATATGAAGGCACGAATGGTGTGATTCTACTTTGTGTACAACTAAAGACATGAAAAATTGTGCTCTATATGTGTACTATGAATTGAAATGCATTCTGCTCTGTCATGTGTAACAAATTAGAATAATAGATAAATTTTAAAAAATATTGTCTGTGGGTGCTTTTGGGCAATAGTGGCCAAATTGTGTAGTTGCAGTGGAGCCTATATGGTTTGAAAACCTAAAATATTTCCTATTTACTATTGGTCCTTTAACAAAAATTTACCAGGCTGGGTATGTAGCTCAGTGGTAGAGTGCTTTCCTAGTACATATAAGGCCCCATGTTTGATCCCCAGCACCATTAAAAAAAAGAGAAAAGTTTGCCAATACCTATTTATTAACAGAAGAAATATTGGAAAATGATTAGATTCAGGATATTTTAGATTAGATTGGAAAATGATTAGATACAGGATATTTTAAAAATGTTGAGGGCTGGGGTTGTGGCTCAGAGGTAGAAAACTTGCCTACCACGTGTGAGGCCCTGGGTTTGATCCTCAGCACCATTAAAATAAATAAATAAAATAAAGGTATTGTGCCCAGGTACAACTAAAAAAAATAAATATTTTAAAAAAATGTTGAGCCAGTAGGATCAATGGCAGTTCAATATGTGAGCCTCCAGTATGGTGGAGAGGTTGGAGCTGGGATTCATTGGCATATAGTTTATAAAGCAGTCGGACTGATGAGTAATTTGGTAAGTAAATGAAATACTGACAGGAGAAGAAGGCCAAGGACTATGCTGTGAAGCCAACTTCCAGTTAGAGGTCAGAAAAGGAGGGTGGTACATTGGGTTGACCAACAACCTTATTTGCCTAAGAGTGGAGTTTTTTGGACACAAGACTTTTCAGTGCTAAAATCAGAATAGACTGAGGCAAACCAAGGTAGTTGGTCACCGTAAATTTCTTTTTTTTAAGTTCCCACGGGCACTTAACACTGAGCCACATCTCTAGCCCCTTTTAAAATATTTTTTATTTTGAGACAGGGTTTCACTAAGTTGCTTAGGTTCTTGCTTAGGCTGGCTTTGAATTTGCAGTCCTCATCCTCCCGTGTCACTGGGATTGCAGTGATGCACCACCTTGCCCAGCCCCAGATGGTATTTAAAAGGTAACTGAGAAAGACTGGTAAGGTTGGCAAGTCAACTGTCAAATATTGTTAGCAGAATGGTAACTGACCACCAGATTTAACAAAAGAGGGTTGGGTCATATTAGAATGAATGATTTTTTTTTTTTCAGTGGAGTTATAAAAGCAAAGTGGAAAAATTCTGAGAAATTTTACTTTTTGGGAATCTTCCTGTTCCCCCATCAAACAAAGCAAACAAACCAAATAGGAGAGCAACTAAGAGAATAAAATATAAAACCACAGGTAACATCTATATCAAAACTGGGGCTGGGGTTGGTGTTGTGGCTCAGTGGTGGAGTGCTTGCCTAGCAGGTGTGGGGCACTGAGTTCTATCCTCAGCACCACATAAAAAGTAAAATAAAGGTATTATATCCATCTACAACTAAGAAAAGATATACATATATAAAAACTAACAGGTTGGGGATATAGCTCAGTTGGTAGAGTGCTTGCTTTGCATGCACAAGGCCTTGGGTTCAATTCCCAGCACCACCAAAAAACTGAATGACAAATTATCCCTCCATACCCTGTACAAAGGTTATGTACTAATAACAGCTTCAAGATTCACGAAACACGGGGCTGGGGATGTGGCCCAAGTGGTAGCATGCTCGCCTGGCATGCGTGCGGCCCAGGTTCGATCCTCAGCACCACATACAAACAAAGATGTTGTGTCTGCCGAAAACTAAAAACTAACATTAAAAAACAAATTCTCTCTCTCTCTAAAAAAAAAAAAAAAAAAAAGAAAGAAAAAAATGAAAGTAGAAACAGATTAACCCAATGTTAGTTGAAGACTTCAACATCCTTCTCTCAGTAATTGATAAAACTAGTGGATGAAAAAATCAGCAAGTAAATGGAAGAACTAACTAACACTATCATGTGACTGGATATAACTGACTTTTACAGTACAAGTTGCCTAACAATATTAGAATCCTAACTTTTTTCAAGTGTATGTGGAACATTCTTTAAGATAGATCATATCTTGGATCACAAAGCAAATCTTAAAAATGTAAAGAATTGATAATAATACATTATATGTTCTTTGACCATAATGGAATTAAATTAGAAATCAGTAACAGAAGGATAAGATTAAAGCCTCCAAACATACAGAAGTTAAACAATACACTTCTGAGTAATGCATGAGTCAAGGAAAAAGATTTGACAGCAAAAGACTTGGACACTTCATCAGAGGATGGAAAATAAACATCAGTAGCTATTGGGGAAATGTAAATTAAAATCGTGATAAAATACCATTAAAAAACCTATAGAAAGTACCTATAGAATGGCTAAAATAAAATACTGCCAGTACCAAGTAATGGCAAGGATATTGAACTACTGGAACTCACACATTGCAAAATAGTACAGCCACTTTAGTAGAGTTTTAAAATTTCTTTTGAATTTAAATACTCCGGGAAATAAAAAAAAATTTTTTTCAGAACAACCTGTACATGGACACCTGTAGCAGCTCTGTTCAGGATTGTCCCAAACTGAAAACAACCCAGATGTTCTTGTACAAGTGAATGGTACATCCATTCAATAGGATGTTATTCAGCAATAAAAAGGAATAAGTTATCAACACCTGAAGTGCCTTGCACACAAGCAAGTCATGTCTACAAATGGATCTGAAGAGCATTATGCTGAGGGAGATCAAATCTTTAAAGATTGTATATTATATGATTCCATTTATATTACAATCTAGAAATGAAAAAAAATTGTAATGATGGAGAAAATATTGTGTTTACCAGGGATTAGGAATAAGGAAAGGGAGTGACTATAAAGGGATAGCATGAAGGAGTTTTTGGGTGATGGAACTATTTTAAATAGTTGTGGTTGTATGAATCTCTACATGGATCAAAATTCATACCATGGCATTGGAAAGCTTCATGTGTTATAAGGGGGATACTTGGGATTGAACCCAGGGGCATTCTACCAGTGAGCTACATCCCTAGACTCTACAAAAAAAAAAAAAATTTAATTTTGAGACAAGGTGTCAGTAAGTTGCTCAGGGTGACCTTGACCTTGTGTTTCTTGCCTCAGCCTTTTATATGGCTATGATTACAGGCATGCCCCAATGATACTAGGCAGATTCCTGATAATTTTAAGTTAAACCAATAGAAAAAGATTATAATTGGACTTTGTACAAAATTATAAGGTTAAAGAGAATGAGGAATAAAATGACATTCCTATAACTAATGAACAGCATACAAGCAAGTCATAACTACCAACCATGTCATAATGTTTCAGAATAGCTAAAGGCCAGGCAAAGTGGCAGTATATTATAGCAAAATAGGAAGAAAAAGGAGCAAGAGGACAACAGGTATTGTCAAATATGTTAGGATAAAGATAATGATTAGAGAAAACTTTCTGAATTTGACTAAATGTGAAAAGATACATTCCAAAATAGAGAATTGATAAGATACATAAGAAGAGTGTGTGTGTGTATATATATGTATATATATGTGTGTGTGTGTGTGTGTATATATATATATATATATATATATATATATATATACATACATGCACATTCAACTGTTTATATATTGTAAATAAGAGTGAGAGAACTGAGGCCAAACACTGATTATTACCAAAATATACTGCTATGTATCTATAACAGAAAATTTGTATCTTTTTTAAGCCTTAAAAATTAAACTATGGGTGATGGAAAGAAAGAGACTGTCCTCCTTTGGCTATATTTTGTAGATTCATGATGAGCTATATAAATATCTTATGCAATTATAAGACAAAATTAAATTTAGGAATATCCTGAATCCAAAAGAGAAATGCAGTGATTTAATCCAAATGTGTATCCAGTGGTTTATATATCCTTAAATTTATAAGAAATAACAGAAAAACCCCTAACTATTGTATCATATTAGTGGCAGCAGTGCTATATTCTTATTCTGAGAATGTTGTGCATTAGCGTGGAATAAAAGAAATGAGCAATTTAGTTGGGTTCTTTTGGTATCTGAGACTTAGCTCTATTTTATCTTTCATTATATATTTTACAGATTAAAAGAGATTTAAAGATATCATTTAGTCTCATATATAGGACTCATCTGGAACTAAATTTAAATAAATGGAAAAATACATATTTATAATTATGCAATGGGGGAAACAGACTAACTGGTATTTGATTTTAAGTAATTACTGTTAATATTTAGATGTGATTTTTTTAATATCTTCATTTTATTTATTTATTTTCATGTGGTGCTGAGGCTCCAACCCAGTGCCTCATATGTATGAGACAAGTGCTCTACCACTGAGCCACAATCCCAGCCCCTTTAGATGTGATTATTATTATTATACTTCTGCAAAAATTTCTTCATGCTGAAATATTTACAGATGAAATAATATGCTGCCTGGAATTTGCTTCAGAATAATCTGTGGAGTTGGCTACTGTGAGTGGATGTTTACTAGGGATTAGGAATAATAAGATTTTCCTTAAATTGATAAATTGTTGAAGCTGAGTATTACAGTGGGGTTTTTCCTACTTTCTTGAGGTTTTCTATGATAAACTATTTTAAGGTTAAAAAATTACGAAGTTAGACAATGTATAAATGGCAAGGTAAGATAACTGGTATTAACATTACATAACCCTTATATTATGCTTCTAACCTATTATAATGTTTGGTGGGGAATGGGCATTTAATTTTCTAGGAAGTACACATCTGCCACGTGACCAGCATGCGAGCTTCATAAAAGAGGTTCAAAGCATAAAAATTAACTAGTGAGTTTTAAAATTAAAGAGACATATTCTCATTACCTTTAATGCCCAGCTCCGGAGACGGCTTCTCCTAGCTCCCGCCTCCAGCCACCTAATGCGGTGGCAAGGTTAACACAAGAGGCTAGCGAGAGAGAGAACACGCCAGGGAGTGAGCTTTTATTGGGGAACAAAAATTCAAGGGAAAATTCCATCCAATGAAGGTCGATGGGGGCAGCATTCCAAGGTCAGGGTCAGTGATTGGTCTTCAGGTCAGTGGCCAGGCACACCTCCACATGGACAAGCCCTCGAACCTGGGACAGGGTGGGGAAGGCTCTGACACAGTTGTCTAAGCGCCTCTCACCCAGCCAGGGAGATAACTCAAATCACGTGCGAGAATGGCTTCCCATATACACCTATAGTGATCTTAGAGTGGGCATGAGAAACAAAATAGATTGTATATCAAAAGGAAGGTTGAATAGTACTACAAATTCTCGAAAAGGCACCTCACTACAGTGGGGGGAAAGATAATTATGACTTTATATAAATGGCAGTAAGCATTGATAGAGGTATATGGATGGATGGTTAGGTATCTATAAATTTTTTTTCATGTGCTTTATTTTATTAAATAAAGCTTAGTTCAATCTATCTTTAGTTTTGAATTTTTTTCTTTTATTTTTTTTCGTCTCTAAGTGGTGAAGAGCACACATTATCTTGTTAGTGATGCGGGAAAAATGAATCCAGCAATACATGGTCAGAACTATTATGTAATGTGAACACAAGTGATTACAATAAATCTTTTTACTATTTTACTTATTTTATTTTATGGTTTTGGGGATTGAACCCAGGTTCACTTAACCACTGAACCACACCCCCTTTTTATTTTTCATTTTGAGACAGTACCTCACTAAGTTGCTTAGGTCCTTGATTAGTTGCTAAGGCTGGCTTTGAAATTGTGATCCTCCTTGTTAAGCAAGATGTTAATTATTCTGTGTTCAGTGAAATAACCATTTTTCTTTTTTTGTGTGTGGTGCTGGAAATTAAACCCAGGGCCTCATGCATGCTATGCAAATCATTGTTCTTGCCCTTTAAGAGCTTTAACAGTTAAGAAAATAAAAGGTTGCATATGAATAAATAAATGATTGCATGATTTTCATTTTACATAATATATATATATATATATATATATATATATAAATTTTTTTTGTACTAAGAATTGAACCCAGAGGTGATTCACCATTGAGTTACATTCCCAGTCCTTTTTATTTTTTATTTTAAGACAAAAGTTTTGCTTAATTGCTGAGGGTCTTGGTGAGTTGCTGAGGCTGGCCTTGAACTTGTGATCCTTGTGCCTTAGCCTCTCCGTTGTGGGGATTGCAATTGTATGTCAATATTCCTGGAGATTGTGTGATTATTTTTTGGGGGGTGGAGTGGGGTAGGGGGTTGAACTCAGGGGCACTTGACCACTGAGCCACATCCCCAGCCCTATATTGTATTTTACTTAGAGACAGGGTCTCTCTGAGTTGCCTAGCACCTCATTTTTGCTGAGGCTGGCTTTGAAGTTACGAGCCTCCTGCACAGCTTCCCAAGCCACTGGAATTACAGGCATGCACCACTGAACCTGGCTTGATTGTGTGATATTTAAATCCAGAAAATTGCAATGAGAGAGAGAAAATACTTAGAGAATGAAGGGGTGAACTGAGATAGGGTTTGTCTAGCCAAGGCTTTCTGAGGAAATAACTTTTCACCTGAACTTATGAGATAAAACGAGCCATGCAAAGAACCTGATGTAGAGAATTTCTAGAAAATTGAACAGTTGATAGAAAACTTTGAAAAAGGTAAAAGACTTGGCTTATTTCAGATGCTTGAAGAATATTTGGTCTATAATGAACAGTAGAGAAAGCAAGGCAAGAAAATGTTGGATAAATCTTTTTTTTTTAAAGAGAGAGAGAGAATTTTTTTATTATTTGTTTTTTTAGTTTTTGGTGGACATCTTTATTTTTATGTTGTGCTGAGGATCGAACCCAGTGCTCCACGCATGCCAGGTGAGCACGCTACCACTTGAGCCACATCCCCAGCCCCTGGATAAGACTTTGACTGAGATATGCTAAAAGAAAAGGTTATGGACAATCTCATAAATTATGGTAATGCATTTGGATTTTATTCTAAATGCGTAGAGTAACTAAATAGTCTGGTATTGCACATGACTCCTGCTAGTAAAACCTTAACTTAGTCCAACTGTCCCTATATATCCGGGTAGAACACCATATTGGTGACTTCTTTAGGAGACTCATTAGATACTGACATAGGACAAATTATTTGCTATTGTACTTATTTCTGCATTAGTCTTTGACAATCTTGTAGAACATTTATCGTTGTTGAGTCTACCCTCAGGTGGCTTCCCATCACTCCTTACAGCAGTAGGCAGGGCGAACTATTTATCCATTGTCCCCTCACTCCTTCTTCCTTATTGATATAGCCCCAATTTTATTTATTTTTTTCTTTTTTTTATTAGTTGTTCAAAACATTACAAAGCTCTTGACATATCATATTTCATACATTTGATTCAAGCAGATTATGAACTCCCATTTTTACCCCGTATACATATTGCAGATTCACATCGGATGTTGATGTTCCCTACTAGAGGACATTTCCTCACCTCTCTGAAGCTTCTCAAGTATATCTACATGACAGTGTGGCCAGTGAGAGGGAAACTGCCATGCTATGTGTGACTTCCAGAAAGATTCCTCAAAGTGAACTCTTTGCCCTGATCACCACCAGATCCACTCCTGAAAGAAGGACATGAAAGCCAGAACTCCTTAGGCCATGAGGTAACCTCTGGAATAGAAGCTTCATAATAAGTGTGGTAGAATAGAAGGAGTGGGGTCTCTGATGCTCACAGAGACAACAGCCCACTTTCAGGATTCTCACGTGCAGGAAGAACATGCCCTTGTATTTTAAGCTGTGCATGTCAGGGGGGTTTCTGTTGTCTGTAGCCATTTCTAACCTCTTGCATGCCCTGACTCTGTGCCTGGCCCTCTAGCAAACTCTGTATGGGGATCACTTTATATTCCTTGAGCATATTTCATGGAGTCTGGACTCTTATTAGCAAGTTTTATAAATGAGACCTCAACATGGGAAGTGTTCTGCCCAAGGTCATTCAACCAGATAGGGCAATGTTCTGACCTCTAAGTCAGTGATTCTCAGTTCTGTCTGCACATCAGAATTTCCCAGAGCTTTTGATAAATGTCCAGGCCATGCTAAAATTAGTTACTTGGAAGTGTGAAGAACAGGAAAATATATGCCTAGTCTCCGAGAAGATCCCCCAAGATACTTACAAAGGGGAAAAAGAGGCTTTGCAGTGAAGTTGGGCAGACACCCCCTTAACCTAGAGCTCTGACCTGACACATGACTAAACCAGTCAGGATCACTCTGGGTGAACTGGGCTGGCACAAAATAATCATACAGAGAAATACCTTTGGGTTCTGTGATGGCTCCTCTGACCCAGCTCCCGCAAAGGAGGCAAGACAGGCAAGAAAGACGAAGAGCATGCCTTGAACCTGGTTTTATTGGGGAGAAGCCATTCAAATGAGGCAAGGGGTAGGATTACAAAGGAACAGATGAGTGTAACTCAACCCCACTGGGTGACATCTACTCCTGGAGCCACATCTCATTGTCTGAGTGGAGGTAAATAAAGCCCAAGCTATTGCAGGGCACAATAATTGTTCAGTATCTCTTACTCAGGACTTAAGGGCATGTATTTCCAGAGCGGCTCCTGACGGAGCTCCATATGACCACCAGTCCTGGGTGACAGGATGCTCTAAGAACACAGCTCTCTTGTACAGTGTTCCTGTCAAATATGTAGGACCTGAGTCTACCTATGAGGAAACATTGGAAAAACAGATGAAAGTCATAGAATAGTCCTGAAATGCATCCTCATATGTATATGGAAAGAGATATTTCACACAGATGAAGAAAATATTGTCTTTTCAACACAATTTCTCAAGACAAACCACGGAGGCCACAAAAAAGTGGCACAATTTTTAAGTACTGAAAGGGAAAACTTTCAATCCCAAATCCTATATCCAGCAAGAATATTCTTCCAGAATGAAGCAGACCAACACTATTTATTAGGGAAATACAAATCAAAATCACAATGAATTACCACTTTATACCTATAAAAATGGCCTTAATCAAAATTTTCCATATGTGGTGGTGACTCAGTGATACCAAGGCAAGAGGATTGCAGGTTCAAGGCTATTCTTTGCAACACAGTGAGACCCTGTCTCATAAACAAACAAAATCAGAAAATAAGTGATGGCAAGGATGTGGAAATTTGAAACTTTGTGCATTGTGACTAAGGATCTAAGAAGCTGCTGTGGGAAATAGTATGGAGGTTCTAAATAAATCAAATGTGATCACCATATGATGCAGCTCCAGATAATATTATAAGAAATCATTTCACAAATCTTCAAATCATTTAACAGAGGACATTTTAAAACTTAAAACTAGCTGGGCACTGTGCCACATGCCTGTTATCCAAGCAACTTGGGAGGCTGAGACAGGCAGGAGGATCTCAAGTTCAAAGCCAGCCTCAGAAACCTAGCAAAACCCTGTCTCAAAACAGAAAATTTTAAAAACAGTCTGGAGATCTAACTCAGTGGTTAAGGGCCCCTGGATTTAATCCCTGGTACAAAAACAACAAAAAGCAAAAAACAACAAAATAAAACCAAACAAAAAGACCATAAAAACTTAAAGCTATGGACATATGAGCTGGGATCATAGCTCAGTGGTAGGGCACATGCCTAGCATGTGTGAGGCACTGGGTTTTATTCTTTGCACTGCATATAAATAAATAAATATCTATCAAAAATTAAAAAATATTTTTTAAAACTATGTATAAAAATGGAGGCATGTTCAATGATTGCTATAGAAATGCTTTTACAACTTGTTTATATAACCTATCCTGGGTGTTCTCTTAGAGAAGAAAACATCCTTGGTCATCTCTGAGCTCACAGTCCATTAGTACACCACACTTTCTAGTTCTTCACGTTAAAGATCTATAAAATATGAATATATGTGTACTATGTATAAAAATAAAATGGAGGGGCTGGGGCTTTAGCTCAGTAGTGGAGTACTTGCCTAGCACATGTGAGGCACTGGGTTTGATCCTCAGCACTGTAATATGAAATAAAGCCATTCCTGTCCATCTACAACTACAAATAAAATAAAATAAAATAAAATGGACAAGGGTAAGGATAGAAGGGTAGATGGACATGATCAATGCACCATGTATACATGTATGGAAACATAACTGTAAACCCCATTAATTACAATTAATGTTATCATAAAAATAAAATAGACATATGATACAATGTTCTACTGTAAAGAGAACATGGTTATTTCATGATATAATCAGTGAGTGAGGAGGCAGGGTGGTACATACAAGGATGCCATGAATACTTTTATATTTCTGTGGCAGCTTGAAATGTTTGGGAAAGCAGAAACAAGGGTGAGCAGATTATCTAAGAGAATGAAACTCAATATTCCCAAGACCCTTGGTGGACTGAGGGTAGAATATTCAGTTAGACCATCCTCTCCATTTGCTACTCACCTAGGAAACCAAGGCGGGTTTGCGTCACTGCTTGAGAGCACAATTCTTTTGTTACCATTGTTAGCATATAACAGTATTTATTAACCTACAAACAGACTTACTTCAGATGAGATAATTCCTAGGTCCTCATGGATCAGAACAGAAGTTCTATAACCTTACCTACCTGTTCCAGTTATTTCACTCTAATGTTTATTCTGAATGTACTCTAAACCAACCAAACAAAAAGCAAAGAAACTAAGCATAAATATTATTATTCAAGGCTAAATTTCTTGAAGTTCTGTTCAGACAAGGCATGGTATATTTTACTATTATGCCCCTTTCAAGTTTAAATTTTTTTTTTATCATATCCTTTCCTTCATCACTCAATTCTTTTTTTGCTCTGAAAGTATCTGCAAGTTCAGGACTGACAAGTACGATTATATATACTATCAACTGGTAATTGCTATCCCTTTCTACAGTCCAGAGGGCTACTTAATGTTTTCAGCATCAGATGCTTGAACCATGAACTGTTTTCCTGGTTACTCAATATTTTCACAATGAGCAAAAAGGCTTTTAAAATTTTCTGAGTTTTATTAGACTTCATATAGTAAATGCTAGATATAAGAAATTCTTCCCAATAAGGATCTAACATGGTTCAAATTGCTGTTAAGCTTAACGTGCTCATGGATAAGATGCTATAAATATTAACTGTCTTAGCATATTTCTGATTCTCAAATATAAACACCTTTCCAGGAGCTGGGGTTGTGGCTCAGTGGTACAGAGCTTGCCTAGCATGCACAAGGCCCTGGGTTCGATCCTCAACACCCCATAAAAATAAATAAACAAAATAAAGGTATTGTGTCTAACCAAAAAATAAATATTAAAAAAATAAAGGTTATTTTATATGAAAAATATTTTTTCCTAATTCTCTCTACTGTAATTACTAAACTCTCAAATTCTACTCATGGTGTTTCTCTTCTCAACATCCCTTTCTCTTGTGTGAATTCTTAAGCTAGGGCTAAAGTGTCCCTAAAACCATGACACACAAAACAAAATAATTCAAGTTACAGGTGAATACTTTGTGCAAGGGTTGAACAACAGATAAAGGCCTTTCTATAATTACTGCATTCACACAGATAAAACAGCCTCTCAAGTATTAAATCATAAGGTTTCCTTTTAGCAAGAATTCCCCAGTTTGAATGACTGCTAAAGACCTTTCTACATTGACTGTTGAGAATGTCTGAAATGTTTAGCAATATCTCCCTTAACTGAAAAGACTTAAGATATTCTCCTGGACAGAAAAATTCCAGTCTTCGGTACAAAATCAACAGAAATACATGAATATACACCAAAGACGTAAACAAGAATATTTATGGCAGTATTTTATTATAATAGAAAATTATAAAAATACAAATATCTGCCAACAGGATAAATAACAGTATATTATTAAAATGATATAGTATACAAAATAAAAAAGAACATACTACTACCACATGGAATATTATACAGATCTTTAAAATGTTCAGGGAAACAAAGAAGGACATGAATTCACGATGTCTAAGTAAAACATATATAAATAAAGTTTGAGAGCATGCATAAACTAGTTTAATGAGGTTATAAGCCAGGGAAATGGTAATCATTTTTTTTTTTGTAGAAGTGGTAATATTTGGGGAAGTAAAAACTACTTTTTATTACATAGACTGCAAAAATAATTAGAATTCATATTTTTAAAAAATTTATGGTGATCAGTGCTGATACCATTTTGTAATTTGCTTCTACATGTACTATATTTTTAAATAACTGAAAATTAGTGTCAGAGCTACAACCTAATAATAATGATCATACACATTTCATATGCAATAAACAGTAGTTTTGTGGTGTGGAACTTTAAAAACTTTGTGATTAAAATTACATCAACATGTTTAAGCATGCTTTTGTTTTTAAAACTAAAGGTTTACATTAACTTGGAAAGACTTCACAAAGAAACCACTTTATTTATTGCATTTCCATGTTTTCTCCCTTATGTGTTCTCTGATGGACAATGAGGCTTCTCCTATAACTGAAGGACTTACCACACTCATTACAAACATAGGGTTTTTCACCTGTGTGAGTTCTTTGATGTACAATAAGATTCGTCTTCTGGCGGAAGTACTTTCCACATTCATTACATTTATATGGTTTTTCTCCCGTGTGAGTTCTTTGATGATGAATGAGATAAGACTTCCTGCTAAAGGCTTTCCCGCACTGAGGACATTCATAGGATTTCTGCCCTGTGTGTATTTTTTGATGTACAGTCAGAGTTGCTTTCTGGCGAAAGGATTTCCCACATTCATTACAGATATAGGGTTTCTCTCCTGTATGAATTCTCTGGTGTAGATTGAGATTTGTCTTCTGACTGAATGATTTCCCACATTCATTACATTCATATGGTTTTTCTCCTGTGTGAGTTCTATGATGATCAATGAGGTATGATTTCATTCTAAAGGCTTTCCCACAGTGAGGACATTCATAAGATTTCTCCCCTGTATGTGTTCTTTGATGTGCTACTAGGGTTGTCTTCTGGCGGAAAGACTTTCCACATTCATTACAAATATAGGGTTTCTCCTCATTGTGAGTTTTCTCATGAAGAGCAAGGGTTGTCTTCTGAGAGAAGGATTTCCCACATTCATTACAAATATAGGGTTTCTCTCCTGTGTGAGTTCTCTGATGTACAGTGAGGTTTGCCTTCTGGTGAAAAGACTTTCCACATTCTTTACAAATATAAGGTTTCTCCCCCGTATGAATTCTCTGATGTAGAGAGAGTGTTACCTTCTGGCGGAAGGACTTTCCACAGTCATTACACTTATATGGTTTCTCTCCTGTGTGAGTTCTCTGATGACGAATGAGGTGTGACTTCAATCTGAAGGCGTTTCTACATTGTGGACATTCATATGACTTCTCCCCTGTATGTGTTCTCTGATGATCTGTGAGTGCTGTCTTTAGGCGGAAGGACTTACCACACTCATTACAAACAAAGGGTTTCTCTCCTGTGTGAGTTCTCTGATGATCAATAAGATAGGACTTCCTTCTGAATGCATTCCCACACTGATGGCATTGATAGGGTTTTTCCTCTGTGTGAATTCCCTGATGCAGAATCAATACTGACTTCCTGCAGAAGGACTTCCCACATTCAGTGCATGTATGTTTTTTTTCAATATTGTTTGCTCTTCTCTTTTTATTATATACAGGTAGGGTTTCCCCTCTATACACTCTATTATGTGTGATCAAGCCTCCCTTTTTAAGGAATGATTTCTCACACTCACTGTATCCAAATGACTGTGCTGGAGTTACCATCTTCTGATACTGTATAAGCACATCATTATGACAGAAGGTCCTGTCACTTTGATTATGGGATTTTACTTCAGGAGGAGCTGTTTCTTGCCTATTATTAAGTAGTGATCTCCCAAATCCATTGTACTCATTAATTCTCTTTCTTGAAGGACTTAGGTTACTGATGATTAATCCTGAAACATTTTCCAAAGTCTTCCCATGAGTGTCATAGTCAGGAGGTAGATTTTTTGAATCAACAGGTTTTTTGATTAGATTAAGTGTCTTTTCATATATACTGTTCTCCTTGACAAGTCTTTTGTGGTTAATGCACACAACTGATCTAGAATACTTATCTTGGTGTTCCTTGAATTTCATTAAAATGTCTTCAGCTTTCCAGTTTTCTTCTAAAAAAAATTAATAACAACTTGTGAATCTTCACACAGTTGCTAGGGAAAGAGTCTACTGGGGTCTAATGTATTAGGAAATGAGATAGTAGAAAAAACCCAGGACAAATTACTCTCTGCCTGGGGATGGGAAGAAAAGAGAAGAAACATAGAATCTAAATAAAAACTCTGCTTCAGTGTGGGAAATAATGGAAAAAAAAATGAGCAATGAACACTATTATTACATTTTACATCCTACAGAACTTCATAGACAAAGTAAAACAGAATGGTGGAAAGAGGGATTGAAAGAAAAATAGATTCACAGACAATTAAGTAAATCTACAAAGGGCATTATACTTTAAGCAAGATGGATAAAAAAGTATTGGTAGAAATGTTTGTTCGGGGAAAATATTAAGAGAAGGATTATTTTTGCAGGACACAGAAGATCACCTATACTTTAATACAGGCAATTAATGAAATAACTCTTGAACACCTAACATGTAATATAATCCAGTAAAGAAGGTTACAAAAGAAGATCATTTATTTCGGAGAAAAGAATTTTTAAGTGTAAACCATATACAATCAGACTTTAAATTATATGATAATATTCAAGAATTGTGTATGTGTATTTTTTTATTTTTGGTACCAGTAATTGAACTCAGGGACACTCAACCGCTGAGCCACATCCCCAGTCCTATTTTGTATTTTATTTACAAATAGGGTCTCACTGAGTTGCGTAGTGTCTTCCTAAGTTGCTGAGGCTGGCTTTGAACTTGCAATCCTCCTGTCTCAGCCTCTCAAGATGCTGGGATTACAGGCGTGCGCCACTGTGCCCGGCTGTGCATGTGTACTTTAGTAAGTAGGTAGCAGAGGAATTCAAATAAGAGGAAGGCAGGTATGATGTGAAGTAATGAAGGAATAGTCAGTCTATGGAAAAGGAACATAACATTTGGAAGGGAGTATATACAACACAATAAAAAGTACCTATGTGATGACAAATCCTTCATTTATGGAAAAACCTCAGAGCCCAGATTAAATGGAAACTGATTTTGTGTGTGTGTGTTGCTAGGGTTTGAACCCAGGGCACTCAATCCCTGAGCTACAATCCCCAGCCATTTTTATTTTTGTTTTGAAACAGGGTCTCACTAAGTTGCTAAGGGCCTTGCTAAGTTTGCTGAGACTGGCTTTGAATTTGCAATCATCCTGCCTCAGCCTCCTGAGCTCCTGGGATTATAGGCTGATATATAGGATTATAGGCTGATTTTTAATCTTGGGCTTTATAAAGATTAGCAAGAATTCTGTAAGAAAGAAAAGCTGAAAAGACTATATGAAGGCTTACTGAAGTAGTTTAAGAAAGATGAGAATTTTCTATTTTAACAAGTAATGGTATATCTTGTTAAGAGAGTAACAATATAAATTGAATGAATGAGACAAATGTTATAACAAAGGCAACATACTTAATAATAATGAAGAGATGAAACATGGGTTTTCATTTTGCACATCAGTGAGAAATAAGAGTATAACAGAATGTTAATATATTTCACAGGCTGATAAATAATTATGAACAGATCCAGAAGAAATGTTGACAGAGACAGAAGATTTGGGCTGATATCATGGCAGGAATAAAGTAACTAAGAAATGATGGGAAAGAATTTAAGAGCTGAGATGTTTAATTTCTAACATGCTGTAACAAAAAAGGTGAGAAGACACTACAATACTTTGGAGGGAGAAACATGCTGAGTAGCAGATGTCAGTGCCAGGTACAGAAAATGAACAGCTGAAGTTCTGAGAAAGGAAGGGGTTGTCATGATTTAAAGACAGATCCCTTAAAGATAAATTTGAGAAATGAAGACTAAGAGTACAGTATTCTTTTAAACGTGTGTGACTCTTACATGTCAGGCACTGTTAGGGAGGACAGACACACTGGTGAAGAAAAGAGACCAAGTTGTAAAATAATCACTCAAGAAATTAGGATAAGAATGAGTTAGTGTTGTTTACCCAAACCAAGGGTTGACTTTAGGAATGATGATCAGTCATATAAAATGAACCACAAAGGTTTAATGGAGAACAACTGTAACTAAGGAAAGCCGGAGCTGAGGCAAGTGAGTTTTAAAATTAACAGATCTGTAGTGAGAATGGGAACTAAGGCTTAGTGCAGGAAAGAAACCTGAGGTATTATGAAGGCGGTGGGGGGGGGGGGAACGGTAAAGTAACTAAGACAACTTGCAAGAATTTTCTTAACAGATTTATTTATTTATTCAGGTACTGGGATTTGAACCCAAGGATGCTAAATCAGTGAGCCACATCCACAGCCCTTTTTATTTTGAGGCAGGGTCTTGCTAAGTTGCTCAGGGCCTCACTATGTTACTAAGGCTGGCCTTGAACTTGCAATCCTCTTGCCTTAGCTTCCCAAACTCAGTGGGATTACAGTTATGCACCAACACACCCATCTCAAAGAACAGATTTAAGATTGCCTGAAAGAAATCTATCTTAAAAGGCAAGGACTGAAAATACTACAAAGACAGACATAAAGAAAAAAGAGCAAGAAGAAAAAGAGTTTACAGTACACTTTAAGTAGTGGCAAATATCTTTGGTAATACCAAGCAAACTAGAAAAGCCTATTTTGAAAGAGTCTGTTTATTTTTGTTTTTGATGGTTGTTGTTGGTTGTGTTTTTGAGATGAGTCTCACTATGTTGCCTGGGCTAAGCCTCAAACTCCTGGGTTCAAGTGATTCTCCTGCCTCAGGTTCCCATGCAGCTGGGACTACAGGTATGCAGTGCTGAGCTCAGCTCAGAAATCAGTTTTAAGTTTTGTAGGCATAAAGGTCATTTTGAAAGTTAGGAGTATCTTTTTAAAACTTCCCAAGACATTCCAAAAGTACTCCCAACACCTTATTCCTTTAAAATTTACTTTCCACTTTTCATCTGCTTACCTAAGCAGGCATGACCTGCAAATGACATCCAGGGCTCTTCTCCTCGTTCTAATTTGAGGATCATATCAGGTTTGGTGATGTCACATCCTAATAAAGGAAAAGACTTACATTGGCAATTTAAGCTTCAATAATTTTGAAAAATAAAGGTATATGTTCAGTATTTCAAATTAAGATTCTCATTTGTGTAACAGTAAACTGAGAACCTTGCAACAGGCAAGGGAAGACACAATCATCCTTTCAGTGAACCAAAAGGAATTTATTACCTCTTTTCCCTGAAATTCAAGATTACACGCTTTATGTATTTTGAGATGAAATGTATTCTACAAACAGCTTCAAACAGAGTTTTTCTTACCCACAGAGATGAGATGGCAATAGTTTTCCAACATCACATCCATGTATAGAGTCTTCTGAGCAGAATCTAGGTGTTGCCACTCCTCCTGACTGAAATCCACAGTCACATCTTTGAATGACACTGATTCCTATAATGGTTTGAAATTGTGAAGACAACAGATTAACTAAATACTGAAGCCTCCTTGGTCATTGTTTTTGTGGTATTCATATGAAAACTTGTAAAGAAAGACTATCATTTTTCTTGTTTTGTGATTTACACTGTAAGGAAAAAGAACCCACTGAATTTATAAATGCATTGTAAAAACAATTACTGTTAAGCCAGTTTATATCCAAAACCTGTACTGGATTATTGGGAGACCAAAACAAACAAACCATTGTTGCTGCTCAAGAGAAATTATAGCATCAGACAAAGAAAATTTTGTGACTAGGGACTGAAACAGAGCAAACTATAAATGCACATATTTATATGTATTTATAAATATGTTGAAATGAACCCTATTAATAACAAAAGTATTTTTTTTTAAAAAAAAGAATGTATGTGTAAACACGAACCTGCAAGGAGTTACAGGTACAGCATAGAAGTATATGTAATATACAACGAATCACAAAAGTAGAACTACCTTTTTCAGGTTTTACCAAGGAAAAATTTTCCCCCTTAAGGATGAATGTTTTATGCAGGAAGAAAATGGTTCTAAGATACTTTCATTATTCAACAATAAAAAAGAGTAAACTGCTCAGGAAAACATTCTCAGATAGCAGTTATACAATCTGGACACAAATGTAATAAGCAACTGAAGGTAATAAGCAACTAAAGCAAAGTACAGGAAAACCACAAAAGCAGGCAGAAATTGGACAGCATATCCTTGAAGGATAGCAACAACAACGATAGGAGCTGTTAATTTTTTGACCTTTTCCTTGAGAATGCCCAAGACCCTGTAGCTCTCCATGCAGAAAAGCACCACTTAGTTCCTCCATGATGACAGGACAGAATACAGGGGTGGCCAATGAGCTGGAAATTTAATTCTGCAAGGGGAAGAGCTCTAGAAAGGATGAGACTCAATAACTGAGTATAAACTCTTCTAAATCCCTTGGCTAATAGTTAAATTCCGTATATGTTGGAGATATCAGAGTACTTAGCAAAAATCAGAGAGAAAAAAACAGAAAAGAATCTTGAAAATCAGAAGTGTACCTAGTAATATATTTTAAGACTTCTGCTTTTTTGACTTGCAGTATTCCATAACTTGAATAGATCACAGATCAAGCAGAAGAAAACTGGAGTTTTATTGGATTGAGGTATCAGAGCTTAGGATTAACAAAGCAAAAAGAAGGATAGGGATGAAACCGTAGAAGCCAGAGCACCGCAGAAAGTAAGTCCCATAATGTGAGTATACCTCACTAACTCCTTGAATGAGAGCTAAAGCATATGAACCCAAAAGAGATCCTCAAAACCAGGGTAAAAAGCAGAACTAGAAGCTTAAAAACCAGGAGGACTGGCTGGGTTGTGGCTCAGTGGTAGAACGCTTGCCTTGCATGCGTAAGGCACTGGGTTCAATCCTCAGCACCACATTAAAAAAATAAATAAAACAAAAGATTGTGTCCATCTACAACTAAAAAAAAAAACAGGAGGATATATCAGTCATTTCACATTGAGGGGAGGGTATAGTTTGACTCCAAGCAAGTTAATTGCCTACTAGAAAACAAAGAAACAAACCAATAGTCCTCAGAAGAACCAATAGATATAATAGGATTCAGATTACTGTATTATTCTGATGTTCAATTTTCTAGCAACAATTACTAGACATGCAAATAAAAAAAAAAGGAGTTGGAAAACATGGCCTATATTGAACAAAATGATAATCATAGAAACAATTTCCTGGACTTCAAAACGGCTGTTATAAATGTGTTCAATAGAAAATGAGAGGAATCCAAAATATGAACTATAAAAAGAGCAACAAATGAAATAGAGAGGTTGAAAATAGCTTTGTAAATAAATCAACAGAAATAAGCAATCCAAATAAAAAGAAAAAAAGATATGGAATAACAGAATCACAAAGATCTGGAGGTCAATTTCAAAGTAATCCAACACAGATGGAACTGGAGTCTCAGGGGAGAGAAAAAGAAAAAAGCATTCAAAAATTATTGGGGAAACACAAGACATACAAATATAGTAAAAATCTTTAACTTATATATTTAAAATGCTTAATGAAACAAAAGAATAAATAGCAATGAAAATCATACTTCCAGATCCTATCAAATTACTAAAAGCAAAGCTAAAATTAATCCAAAATTCAATGTTCAGCAAATCCATTAAAAATGAAGGCAATATAAAGACATTTTCAGAGAAAACATGAGAGAATTCATTACTTGCAGGTCTGCAACATCAAAATTACTAATAAAGGAATTTCTTTAGTGTGGGAGACCAACCTTGCACGTGACTGGCTCACACTCCCCAGCTGGGTGCTGAGGCGCTCAGTCACAGAAATGTGGCAGACTTTCCCCACCCTTCTTGGGTTCGAGGGTCAGTGTCTCGTGCATGGGTGTGTCTTGCTACAGCCCCATGGTGAAGCTATGCTCACCTGTTCCTTTGTAATATAACCCCTTGTCCTGTTTAGGATAGAATCTTCCATGGAAGTGCCTTGTGTGTGTCCCCTTCTCTTACTGTGCCCTTGGGTGTGGCCTATCCAGGTGTCAGTCAACCTGCTGACGGTGGACATCATGAAGACAGACTCAGCCCCCTGAAACCTGACCCCTTGCCTCATTTGAATAGCTTCTCCTCAATAAAAGGGGTCAGCGTGTACTCTCGCTCTCTTTCTGCAGACCCTTTAGGTCAGAGGAGCCGTCACAGCGACCCCAAAGTAAAAGGTATTTGTGTTTTTTGTGTGGTTATTTTGCGCAGCCCAGTCAGCCCAGTTCAACTGGAGTAAACCCTGAGTCTTTTAGTCGTGAGAACAGAAACCCGGCACTTTAGGTTGAAGGTAAAAGCACTGGTTAATTATGATGAGAAATGTTGTATATAAAAGACTACCCTTTTCCACTATTTTAGCATGCAAACAGCCACAGACAATATTGTGTTTCCTTTCTGTCCCCTCCCCTCCCCTCCCTTCCTTTTCTTCCTTCCTATTTTTACTTTGAGACTGGGTTTTACTAAGTTGCTGAGGCTGGCCTTGAACTTGTAATCATCCTGCTTCAGTCTTCAGAGTAGTTTACAGGTAAGTGCCACCACACTCAACTTTGATAATGTTATATTTCAGTAAAACTTACTTATGGATGCTGAAATTTGAATTTTATGGTATTTTTGTATGTTGGAAATGTTTTCCTTTTGAATTTTTCCAAACATAAAAACTATTCTTAAGGTCTGGGCATGCAGCTCAGTGATAGAATATTTGTCAATCATGCGTGAGGCCTTCGTTTAATACCCAGCACAGCCAAAAACAAAAAACAAGCAAAAAGCAAACAAACAAAAAAGAAATAAAAAAAAAAATCTCGGGCAGCTGTTTCATTTGTGGGATATAGACCCTTTTAAACTAAACATTTGATTATCATGTATTACAAACATAAATATCACTCACATACATGGCATATAAACCAAAAATGTGAGTCAGTAAATAAAACTGAAATGTTGCAAGATTGATGTATTTTATCTCAAATAACTTAATATTAACTTAAGTAAACCTTGATAAGTTAAAGATTACATATTGCAATGTTAAAGTAACCATAAAAAATGCAGCTATAACTAAAGTGCCAATAAATGACTTAAAATTAATTACAACAATGGATTTGATATAAAATACAACAGGATGTAGGAATAGATCACCAAAAGCCGATTAGAAGGAACTACATGCATATTACTAAGTGAAAGAAGCCAATCCGAAAAGGTTACCTAACATATGATTCCAATGCTAAGAATTTCCAGAAAAGGCAAATTTTTGGAGTGGTTGCCAGGGGTCAGAAAGGAGAAAGGATAAATATTTCTTCAGGGCTCCTACATACCAGGTACACCCCAACTCAAGATGAATATTTTATTTTAGAAAATTAACATATATATGAATTAAATATTATAGTGAACTTCCTAAATCCTCAAAAGGCATTTGACAATATTGTATACTAACTCTACAATACAACAGTAAAAATGAAAACAAATAGGAATCAATGTATAATTCCTTAATGATTGATATAAAATATATCTATACAAAGTCAATCTTCTTCCAAAGCTAAGTTAAGGAAATTTAAGCCTAATTTTTTATCTTTCCACTTTTTTTTTAGTGGTGCACTATATATAGTTGTACATAATGATGGGATTTGTTGCTATATATTCATACATGCACACAATATAACAATGTGATTTGGCCAGTATCACTACCCAGCTCTCCCCCTCCCCGACTGCCATCTCTTTCTAGTGATCTCCCTTTGATTTTCATGGGATTTCCCCCCACCTACCTTTCTTTTCCTTTTTCCTCTCTAGCTTCCACATATGAGAGAAAACATACAACCCTTGACCTTCTATATAGCTTATTTCACTTAACATAATAATCTTTAGTTCCATCCATTTTCCTTATGGCTAAATAAAACTCCATTTGTGTATATATACCACATTTTCTTTATGGACACCTAGACTTGTTCCATAGTTTGGCTATTGTGAACTGTGCTGGTATAAACATGAGTGTGCATGTAGCACTACAGTATGGTGACTTTAATTCTTTAGGATAAATACCGAGGAGTGGTATGATGGTTCCATGTCTAGTCTTTTAAAGATCCTTCATACTGTTTTCCAACAGTGTAAAAGTATTCCTTTTTCTCCACTCAGGATTAATATTTTAAAATGCCGGGGCTGGGGATATGGCTCAAGCGGTAGCGTGCTCACCTGGCATGCGTGGGGCGCTGGGTTCGATCCTCAGCACCAAGTGAAAAATAAAGATGTTATGTCCACCGAAAACTAAAAAATAAATATTAAGAAATTCTCTAGAAAAAAAAATTTTAAATGCCAAAGATGCAAACAAACTAAAATAAAAGGATGAAAAAAGATATAATACACAAATACATATATGGGAAATACAATGGGGAAAGATGAACTGATAATGGTAATCAAAAGACAAAACAGATTCTGAGTTGAAGAATGTTATTATTAGAG